TCTGTATCCGTGCGGTTGACGAGCGGGCTCGCCGTGCCAGCGCCAAGTGATCCACGCCATTCCCCACCACAGACTGGGTACGTTTCATTCTCGTTTTTTGACCACGTGTGATCGGTTCAATGGGGACGTTTCTCTCACCTGTATATCGCAGAGAAGTCGGTGTGGTGGTGTGCGCTTCTGCTGATTGCATAACGATTAGATGCTGTTCTTTTATGTTTGCGAAATTTTAACATCATGACAGGGGGGAACTAACCTGATAGGTTGATAGGTTCTACAAGGGTTGATAACAGCACTAGGGGGTAAAAATCAATTAAAAAAAAAAGTTGTAAGCGCGAACAGAAAAGAACAATATCATCAGCAGGGCACGAACAACAGCAGGGCACGAACATGAAACTAGGATTTGGTCACGCAACAAGTATAAATTACCGAAAACCCGAAAGCAGAGGGAACGGGAAGGACCATAGAAAGTTTCTCTGAGTTTTCTATTTCTAAGTTTCCCAATCATTTTTTTTTTACTTGGTGCTTGTTAATCTGAAGAAAATTATTTACAATCATCAACGAAATGAACTGACATTCATATACCTTGTTTCAAATCCACCAAAGTCTCTACAATGTGGTAGCGGCTTCTTGTATACTAACCCGCGACATCGGGCTCAGTAAAACGTCGTTGCTGCAATGTGCTTCTGGAGATAGTCATAATAATTATTAGGGTTTAACGTCCTGAAACCATATTTAGACTATGAAAGATGCCGCAGTGGAGCCTACGAAAATTTCGGTCACCAGGGGTTCTTTTACACGCACCTAAATCGAAGCACACGGACCTCAAGCATTTTCACCGTCATCGACTTCTGGGGGGAGACGACGATTGACTCGATGAAAACATTATGTGGTGGGTCCACTGTGTTTGCCGCTCCTTTTGGTGCACACCCCATCGCTTGTGGCCAGTGCGGCTATGGCCTATAATATCGCAGAAATCTACAGAAAGAAAGCTTCGATTTTATTTGCAAGATTATGTATTGAGAAATCGTTTGAACACTTCGTTTTTTTTGTTTGTGTTCACAGGACGTTTTCATAAGTCCTGTTGCGCACACTGTCGTGACATCTCATGTGAAATATTAGCACTTGCTGAAGTCCTTGTATTTGAATTGTTTGAAGAGCTTCAACTGCACAATATTTCTTGTATATCGTAAGACACTGTTTTTCTGCAAGAGTACTCATAATTCAATTTTCAGTTGGTGGCTATAAGCAACACACACACACACGCACACACACACACACACACACACACACACACACCACACACACACACACACACACACACACACACACACACATATATATATATATATATATATATATATATATATATATATATATATATATATATATATATATATATATATATATATATATATATATATATAGTCCAGTGGATCCTCCGTGAGCGGTCACAACGTGGTTTATTTTGACGTTTCGGCCTAGAGTCTGGCCTTCATCAGGAATTCTCCGTTGTACCACAGAAAAGTATACTTTGGCCGTTCTTGTTTATTTATACATTAATGACATCGTCAATAATCATGATAACTCATTCTACGCTATATATGCCCATGACACCAGTGTTTTTCTTTTTCAGTGGAGAAAATCCTTACAAAATGAAAAAAAAAGGCTAAAAATGAAATACTTGTTGCCTTGAAAAGCTGATCGAAATAAATGGGCTAAAAGTTAACGCCGCCAAAACAAAAGTGATCATTTTCTGCCCTTAAGATAGAACTATATCATCTTGCGACTCTTTGAATTGTGGCTTAAGAACCATAGAAATTGTAAAGGTATTTAAACAATTGGTGTTTGGTTTAGCGAAAAGCTGCTATAGAATGTGCGTATCAATCACGTGTGGTTAGCTGTGTCGCAGTTTCTTGGTCTTTTATACTGAAATAGTTACTTTTTTCCAACTTATATTAAGTAGTTGCTCTTCAAAAGTTTTTTTTTTATGTCACAAGTGAGTTATTGTCAATTTCTTATTATTATTCTTTTGCCAACTCTTCTAACCTGCTTATATGCGAACTGCTTTCAAAACTTACAAATTTCGCCTTGTTTTTCGCTATCAGTATAAAACAAAGAACAACAAATAAATGCTGACCGATTTAACAGCGTTAATTGAATATTATTATTTGTATTCCTTATGGTTCGCAAAAAAATCTGAAACAAGAACATCACGCACCAAACACGGGGCCCAGATGCTACGAATAACTTTGCCCTCTGTATTAAACCTTTTATGGCAAAATGACTTTTGTATCATCTTGCAAGCCTGCGCTGCATGCTTTCTCCGTGAAAAAACTGAAATGTCAGTTTTGAGCTTTGTCTTTCATGCATTTTTTTTCTTTTTTTTTCTGAATCGCACGTACGTGTAGTGTTCTTTCGGTGACTGTGTATATTAACGTATCCTTTTTTGTGCTTTTATTTTAGCACGCAAGTTTCTGCCCGCTATCACTGCTTGCTGAACTGTAACCGGTTGCGAAGTCTAGTGAAGCTCGCAGCTGTTTTTTTTTCTTTCGTGTCCTCTACTTGCTGAGTGGAAAATAAGATGATCGATTGATTGGTTAAATAAAATATTAGCAGATCCCACAATCAGTGGGAATCGATGATATGCGAAGCACGATAGAGAAAGGTTAATATATCATCCTAAAATCAGCACAAAGCTACGAGGTGAAGGTAAATGATGACGTACATGACTTCCGTGTCACGATTATCATGTTTGGATGTGTTGTTTACTTTCGTTACAGTGGCTAGAATAGGGAAATGTGATGAGCGGCAAGCTGCGCCTACGGAGCGCACTGAAGCCTCTGAGGTGGAGCCACGTGGGTGCGCGCGCAATTGTTTATACGTCGTGTGCACGTTTCCGACAGTTTCGTCAGATGCGTTCGTCCTCATTTTTTTTTTTTGGGGGGGGGGGGGGGGAGGCGCGAAGCTCTTTGGAGCGGCACCCATTCGTTCCTCGTCGTAGTGCGTAACCAGGCTTACGTTTTGACTTGCAAGGTGCTGCCAGTGGGAGATTTCTTCTCTGCATTGTTGAACAATAAAAAATTCGCAGCGTGCGTGTTAACTAAAAGCCAAACTCTCCTGTCTCTCATTTCGCATTAGCAGCCATTGGCATGTAATTGAGCCCTATCTGACAAAAAATGCTTGCTAGTTATACTCGCTGGGTGTAACCTCCTTGGTTTTAGAAAGGTTCAGCGAGCGTTGGGCCGCAGTGCCATGAATACAGTGAACTAGTATGTACCATGAACTCGAGGTGGTTAAAGGTGCGAAGTAGACACGATGCGCAAGCCGTAAGAAAGTGTGCGGGTGCCACCTTTCGTTTAGTCCTTGGAATGTGCGCTGGATGTCGGTTCTTCTATATGCAGAATATATGAAGAAAAGACGCGAAATGGTGGTACTTGGAGTGTTGGCATGACAGACGAACGGACACACAGACAGATGTATTGACGGACGCACGAACGGCTGCACGAACGGCTGCACCGACGGATGAACGCATAGATGGGCGCAGGGGCGGATGCATGGAGGAAGGCAGGGACGGACGCATGGATGGACGTGCGGACGCACGAGCAGACGCACGCACGGACGGTAACACAGACGCACGCATGGACGGACGTAAGCAACAACGAATGAACGGAGTTATGCTTCGCTCCACTCTCCATCATTCACCCCGTGGATATGCTGCCATTTTTTCTATAGCGGTGGCCCTCTGACATCAATGCTTCTGTATGCGCTCTCATAGCGCCAAACAAAGTCATTGCTTTTTCCCGGGTTTCACTAAACGCCACAAGTCGGCTGAAAAAAAAAACAGAAAAAAAACATGCGTTGTTGGGCGTTTCAAAGGACAAAGCTCTGTTTGCGCAGTAGGGAAGAGCAATCCCAGGAGCTGACAAGCTGCTTAAAAAAATGGCAGCATATCCACGGTGTGAATGATGGATAGTGGGGCGAAGCATCCGTCCGCCCAATCGTGCTTGCTTCCCGCCATCCATGCGTGCGTCTGTGTGGCCGCCCGTGCGTCCATCCGCCCGTCCATGCGTGCGTCTGTTCATGCGTCCGCACGTTCATCTATGCGTCCGTCTCTGCTTTCGTCCATGCTTCCGCTCCTGCGTCCGTCCATGCGTCCATCTGTCCGTCCAGCCATCCGTGCGCCCGTTCATGCATCTGTCTGTGTGTCCGTTCGTCAACCTATTCAACACTCCAAGTACCACCATCTCGCATCTTTTCACTATATATTCCTAATATAGAAGCACCGCCAGCCAGCGGACATTCCAAGGACTGAAGGAGAGGAGGCACGCGCACACGTTCTTACGGCTTGCACTTCGTGTCTACTTCCAACTTTTAACCACCTCGAGTTCATGGTACATACTAGTTCACTGTATTCATGGCACTGCGGCCCAGCGCTCGCTAAACCTTTCTAAAACCTAGGAGGTTACGCCCAGCGAGCATAACGTCGTAGCACCCCTTTCTTCTCTTCTGTGCGTTGTTGAACAATAAAAAATTCGCAGCGTGCGCGTTTACTAAAAGCCGAATTCTCCTTCTCTCATTCCCTCTCAGCAGCTTTTGGCATGCACATTGAGCACTATCTTTCATTGTTCAACACCGCTCAGAATAAATCTCTCACCGGCACCACCTTGGAGGTTAATATGTAATACTAGTTACACACTACTACGACGGCTACGAGGGACAAACAGGTACCGCTATAAGGAGCTTCGCCCCTAAAAAAGTGCAGGCTTGGTTTTTCCTCTGATTTTTTCGCTCCATATCACTTTACTATATAGGCAATGGTTATTGCGCAGGAGGAATTTGTTAAGTATTTAGGGGTCACATATACTGGCAAACTGTATTGGAGTTTGCATTCAGAAAATGTGGCTGCCAAAGGAACATGTGCGCTAAGGACGCTTCGCAGACACAGCAACAAGCGTTCAGGTTTACGCCGAGATGTTCTCATCATGATATACTACATGTATACTCGCCCGATTACAAAGTTCGACTGCGTCTTGTTTTCCAGTGCTCCTAAATACAAACTGTGGTGATTGGTTCTTGT